CTCACTCACACGGTCACACTCTCACGCTCACTCACTCTCTCACGGTCACTCTCTCACTCACACGGTCACACTCTCACGCTCACTCACACGGTCACACTCTCACGCTCACTCTCACGGTCACACTCTCACGCTCACTCTCACGCTCACTCACACGGTCACACTCTCACGCTCACTCTCACGCTCACTCACACGGTCACACTCTCACGCTCACTCTCTCTCACTCACACGGTCACACACTCTCACGCTCACGCTCACTCACACGGTCACACTCTCACGCTCACTCTCTCACTCACACGGTCACACACTCTCACGCTCGCTCACACACTCTCACGCTCGCTCACACACTCTCACGCTCGCTCACACACTCTCACGCTCGCTCACACACTCTCACGCTCGCTCACACACTCTCACGCTCGCTCACACACTCTCACGCTCGCTCACACACTCTCACGCTCGCTCACACACTCTCACGCTCGCTCACACACTCTCACGCTCGCTCACACACTCTCACGCTCGCTCACACACTCTCACGCTCGCTCACACACTCTCACGCTCGCTCACACACTCTCACGCTCGCTCACACACTCTCACGGTCACGCTCACTCTCTCGCTCACTCACACGGTCACACTCTCACGGTCACACTCTCACGCTCACTCACTCGCTCACTCACACGGTCACACGCTCACGGTCACACTCTCGCGCTCACTCACACGGTCACACTCTCGCGCTCACTCACAAGGTCACACTCTCACGCTCACTCACACGGTCACACTCTCACGCTCACTCACTCGCTCACTCACACGGTCACACTCTCGCGCTCACTCACAAGGTCACACTCTCACGCTCACTCACTCGCTCACTCACACGGTCACACTCTCGCGCTCACTCACAAGGTCACACTCTCACGCTCACTCACTCGCTCACTCACACGGTCACACTCTCGCGCTCACTCACAAGGTCACACTCTCACGCTCACTCACTCGCTCACTCACACGGTCACACTCTCACGCTCACTCTCTCACTCACACGGTCACGCTCTCACGCTCACTCTCACGGTCACACTCGCTCGCTCACTCTCTCACTCACTCACACGGTCACGCTCTCACGCTCACTCTCTCACTCACACGGTCACGCTCACTCTCTCACTCACACGGTCACGCTCTCTCTCACTCGGTCACACGGTCACGCTCTCTCTCACTCGGTCACACGGTCACGCTCTCTCTCACTCGGTCACTCGGTCACGCTCTCTCTCACTCGGTCACACGCTCACGCTCTCTCTCTCTCACTCGGTCACGCTCTCTCTCCACTCACTCGGTCACTCGGTCACTCGGTCACGCTCTCACTCACTCACTCGGTCACACGGCTCACGCGTGCGTGCGTGCGTGCGAGAGAGTGCGTGAGTGAGAGAGTAGCCTTGTCCAAATACCCACACTTGCGGTCTTTGCACTTGACTACTTATATGACGTATTTCCTGTATTTGGCCCAAGTGTTCAAGTGAGGATGAAGACCACAAGTGTGTGTCGAACTTTTCATTACCTGATAGGACACACTCGTAGTGTTGTAAAAAGGCAAGTGTTTACATAGCTTTATTTAAATTTTAAATACTTTGCATTTAAAAATCAACTTTTTAACGTTTGATGCAATCTGAAGGTTCAAGTTGATCTTTGCTGAAGTTGGTTGATGAAAAAGAAGCCGTTTGAGTCGGAGAATCTTGGTGAATGGAAAAGTCAAGGCCGAAGGCCTGGCACGAACTTAGGATGTCCTGGAGCGTTGTAGCTCACATCTTCTCAAAACCTAACAGAACCACCGACTCCGGGGCGGGTCACTGATGTGAGGCCTTTAAGGTCTGAGAAGATTCACGCCCCTCAAGATGGGCTTGTCCAATGAGAAAGGCCGGAATCCCAAGTGGGGATTTAAGGGCACTCTCTCGCACACACACACGCGCTCACACTCACACTCGCTCTCTCACACACGCTCTCTCTCTCTCTCTCTCTCACGCTCACTCTCTCTCACGCTCACACACTCGTACTCTCTCATTCGTGCACGCAATCACACACTCGCATTCGCTCACACTCGCACTCTCTCACATTCGCACACACTCAATCACACACTCGCACTCACACTTGCGCACACTCACTCGCTCACACTTGCACACACGCTCTCACACTCGCGCACACACACGCACTCTCTCACACTTGCACACGCTCGCACTCACTCGCACACTCTCTCGCACGCTCACACACTCACTCGCGCACACACACTCTCACTCTCTCATTCGTGCACGCACTCACTCGCATGCACACACTCAATCACACACTCGCACTCTCTCACACTTGCACACACGCTCGCGCACACTCACTCGCTCACACTTGCACAAACTCACGCTCACACGCACTCACACTCGCACACTCGATTTGATTTAAATATCAAACATTTATCCAGTCTCTTTTTTGCAAACCATTTATTGGAGCTGAATACCATGAACAAAAATCAACAGGCTACATTAAAAACTGAACTCTTTAAGAGCTGTTTGTGTGCAAAATAGAGCTGCATGATTCTGGATAAATTTAAGGGTTTTTTTCTTCTTTTTTTTCCCCCCAATGGAAGGTTCTCTCATGATTATGAAGGAAAAAACATTTAGACAACAAAAAAAAATCACATGTCATTTATGAGTGAATGATTAAATGACTCACTCAAGATGTACTTGTTGCATTACTGGATGAATCAGTGTTCTTGAAGGAATCTCGTGTGATTCAAAGACAAATACATTTTAACAGCTCCTTTTCGCCACCTACTGGTGTATCAATGTAATCGATAAATCTTCATTTGAAGTGTCATTAATTTCAAAAGGTGATTTACTCTATTTGAATCGCTACCACACACAGTTTATATCTGAATATAAACTTTTATCCCAGTACTTCTGTGATCTGAGTGTTTGTAACAGAAATAATGATACTGTGTGGCTGAACAGACTGAAGCAGACGAATCATTGTAATTTAGGAATAGAATCACTTTGGTGTTTGAATAGTGTTCGCGATCTTTAACGATCTATTAAATTAAATTCTATTAAATTAAAGTGCTTTGTCATGTTGGTGGTGAAAGCTCTCTTGCAACATGTTTAGCTATCACAGATATTATTGTAGCACCCCCTACCTTATTTTATAACGGTTTACTAAGGAGCAGCACCAGGTTCAATAATCTAGTGCCTGAGATGTTGTATTAAGGCCCCTCTGGTGTCACTGAATGAAATACTTCACTTTTAGAAAGTTACTCAGAATAAAATATGCTATATTTTATGCTGAACTGAAGAGAAACTCACAGGTTTGGGGACTTGAGAGTGAGTGGAAAACATGATTTTCATTTTTGAGTGAACTATCGCTTTAACTTGTGTATATATTCTGGAGCTAGTTTTCGTTCTTATTGGCAAGTCTTGGTTATTACACATGGCTAACACAAGTATTGTAGTTAAGTGTGAGATTTAAATTTGACCGTTTTTTTTTTCACCGGTAGCGTGGCCGAGCGGTCTAAGGCGCTGGATTAAGGCTCCAGTCTCTTCGGGGGCGTGGGTTCGAATCCCACCGCTGCCACTTCTTTTTCTCACCGGCTGATATGAACGCTTTCGGATGCTAAACACGCCGGTCAATGCTCTCGAACCAGTGTCTGGGATTTCTACCTGATCTCGGATCAGTTTGTAGACATTTTATGAGACATTTGTGGAATTAAAAGGAAGAATAGAGGTTATCGGCCTCCATAAAACAAATAAAACAAGCCCTGAAAATGAATAAAAGAACACACATTATGTGAATTGCATTTAATATATTATAGTATTTAAAAAAAAAAAAAAACATTTGGAATGGGTTTGTAAAAGCTGTATTTAGTCATGTTTACACAGTTTTGACCAGCAGGTGTCGCCATATAGCGCTTCGAATCAGTGAATCATTTTGTGAAGCAATTGATTCGAAGCTTCGAAACCTCTGAGAGTCGTTTGATTCGAACCAGTGATTCGGAGCGCGTGTCGACGTGATTTCAGTAAACGAGGCGTCGTTGGGTCATAATTGTTTCGAATAGCTCGCCATTCTCAGTGTTATCTCACAGTTTTGACCAGCAGGCGTCACTGTGGCGCTTCGAATCAGTGAATCAGTTTGCGAATCATTTGGTTGTTGATTCAATGTTTCGAAAAGCTTCGCTCCTCCCACACTACTGCGCTACAAAACAGATGTTGCTCGTTTTTATTTTTATTAATTGTTAAAATGACTGATATTATTATTATATAGGGATTGAGATGTCACTAAATAAAGCATTAAAACACATTTGGTCAGCTGCAGCGTGTCCTTTAGATGGCGCTGAGTTTCCGCGCGTTTCTTCTTCTTCTCCTGTTTCCTGTGCGTGGTATGAAACTTCCGGCGGGTGTTTCATTCTGTAACGCGCAGCGGCGGATCGGTTGGTTCCGGAGGTTCCGCTGGCCCGGGTTCGGTTCCGAGTGTGGCGATGGCGGCGCTTCACCCCGGAGACCCGCAGCTGGTGCCGATGATCGTCAGTCACCTGAAGACGGAGGGTCTGTTCGATCAGCTCCGCAGAGACTGTCTGGCGGACGTGGATACAAAGGCAAAACACCACACATTTACCTCACAACAACACCGCAGTACCTCGCTTCTAACACGGTGTTCTCTGAAGTAACGTAAATAACCGTGGTGTCCGTCTTCTACATCACAGACAGAACTAATAATGTATTTATTTATAACCGGTTAGTGTGTGTGAGAGCGTCTTGATAAACCGCTTGTTTTTAAAATTCGCGCGCATTTATAATCTAACGGTCAGTTTAGCCGCTCACGGGTTTATGTTAATGAGTTATTTTGATTAGCGTCGTGTCTGAACGCTCACACTGAAGCGAAAAATTAACTGATAGCCTGTAATGTTTGCTATGACATGAAACTGCTGCTTGTGATGTAAACCAGTGAGATAAACTGATCTAAACATCAGCGGTCGCTCTATATCTCCAGTAATCTGTCTCAGTAAGATGAGAGTGAAATGCTCCAAACATATAACGCAGTGATTGAGAGCTGAAGAAATCAAGGCTCCTCAGAAGATGTGAGATGTTCTGGAGGCTTGTGAAGATCATTCCTCCGCTGAGGAACAGTGAAAGTAAAGCTTCTGGAAACAAACGCTCCTCAAAAGATCCTGAGGATCAGATTTGAGACTCTAAAACATGATTGATGGAGAATCAAGTAAAGCTGAGCTGCTTCAGTGCAGTAAGTGTTCATCTGGAGATATTACTGCAGTTATTCTGACCTTTACTTGATCAAAACCAGTCCAGATCTGACACGAGAAGCAACAGCTCCAGTTACTCTGAAAGAGCTCTGACTGGATTAAACACGCTAAACTCTCCATCAGAGACAGAAGATGGAGTAGATTTCGGTTTAACAGCAAAGTTTTGCAAAATCAGTTAAAGGCCTTAGAAACGTGTCTCAAATATATACAGTAGCTTTATAGGGCTGATGTTGTTTTCTCTCTCTCTCAGCCGGCGTATTTGCACTTACGACAGCGAGTCGATAACTTCGTGTCCAACCATCTGGCGAACCACACCTGGAGCCCACAGCTGAACAAGAACCTGCTGAGAAACAGCATCCGACAGCTGGTCCTGCAGTACGTCTGTCTGTCTGTCTGTCTGTCTGTCTCACTGTCCGTCTCTCTGTCTCACTGTCTGTCTGTCTCACTGTTCGTCCGTTTGTCTGTCTCTCCGTCTGTCTTGTCTGTATCACTGTCCGTCTGTCTATCTGTCTCCGTCTGTATCACTGTCCGACTGTCCGTCTGTCTCACTGTCCGTCTCTCCGTCCGTCTCTCCGTCCGTCTGTCTCTCCGTCCGTCTGTCTCACTATCTGTCTGTCTCACTGTCTATCTTTCTCAGTCTGTCTGTCTCTCTCTCCTGTGCTTCATCATGTCTGTCTGTGTGGATCAGGTCCGGGATGCTGGAGCAGGGAGTGGACAGGATCGTGGCTCAGGTCGTCGATCCAAAGGTCCATCACTCCTTTCGGCCGCAGGTGGAGCGTGTCGTCCGGAAGTTTCTGTCTCCAAACGGCCACGTGGAGGAGGATGAACTTCCTCCTGTAGCTCCGCCCCTTCCTGCGGAAAACCAGGAAGCTGAACTGCTGACCGCAGATGACAGAAATGATGCCGGTGAGCTTCTCACATTTGAAGAATCTACTGTCTTCTCATTACAAATGATCCAGAACTTAAGTTTTCTGGTGTTTCCAGCTGGGAGCTCCGGCGCTGATGTTCAGATCCCAGAGACCAGCGGCACTGACCCGAGCCACGAGCACAAAGAGGAGGAGATGGACATCAGCCTCCCCGAGGAGGAGCAGCACACCGCAGAGACGATGGAGGAGCCGGAGGAACCGCAGCCTGAGGAAGAGGAAGAGGAGGAGAGAAGTGCCGAGCTGAAGATGAAGGACGAGGGAGACGCGGAGAACAGCAGTAAATCCTCAGGGAAGATCAGAGAGGAGAACCGCGACACTGACTCCCAGAAACCCTCCAGCGTCAAACAGAGGACCAGAGAGAGACTGAGAGAAGGTACGACAGCAAACCCAGTGAATCCTACGTGCCACTTGGTTTTTATGAGCCTTTTTTTCACTCCTCTTGTGTGTTGCACTGATTGTGTTTCATTCTGATGCAGCCAAATACATTTTTAGTGAAGTTTTCATTTAGCAAAGTTGGGTAGTTGAACCCTTTATGCTGTTCGGGGTGTTTTTAGATTAGAAATTAAACTAGTCATGCACTATAAAAAAGATTACCAGAAAATATTTTTCAAGAAAATACTACTTTGTGTATTTCTTGTCTTTACTCCCTGTAATTATTTGTGAAATTCACTAGCCGTTTCTGAGTGAAAATGGTTTCAAAGTAAGTCCTACACCAAATTGTTTTCAGTCATTGTAAAGTTCTTCGGCAGCGAGTCGCATCTTGATATTTCAACCAAACAAATTGCACTTATTACAATAACATGATTTTTGGTGGCACTACTGTAGGTTATTTTTGTTTTGGACATGAAGTAGATACTGACTGTTAAAACACCTCATCAGAGAAGCACTAACTAAACATCAATGCTCAATGATTTCAGCCCTGCAGAATAATTTTTGCCGAAACTGTAAATTTATTTATTTTATTTTCTGAAATTTCAGTGCGAGTTTTACTAATGGTATTAGCAAAGCCATTATGTTAAGATTGTGTCTTAAGTACTAGTCTGACCAACTAGCATGTAACCAAGCTTACTTTTCAGTATCAAATTGGACCAATATCTGACTTTAAAGATTTATGACTAGTCTTAAAGAAAGTAATTTGATCACTAACTTAGTCTAAGCGGTCATATTTTCAGTCTACTGGAGCAATCACATATCCAGTGATTATTTTTCTCTAAATACTGCATCGGGTCCTCAGTTCCTTGTAATAAAGGGGTCATGAAATTCTTTTTTTTAATTACTTAATAATTTTTCCTGAGGTGCACTTATAATTGGTCACAAAATGATCACAATTTAGATATAAATGTTAATTTTCTACTCTGAATTTAGCCTCTGATTTGAACGGTGTGAACGCCCACTGCATATGAAATTACCATTATATGTGGAACTATATTAAAAACTATTACTGTGCGTTTACTATAACAGCCGCCAAAATTAACTAATGGTGAAAAATGTTGATTAAAGCATTATATTTAGATTGACTCCCATTGCATCAAAGGTTGCAGCGCTGCAAGCTGTAGGTTCATGCTCTGGTTTCATTGATGTGTGTGTGTGTTATTAGAGTACTCGCTGGAGGACTCTGATCTGGAGGGTCTCAGTGACATCACCGTGAGTTCGGTCCACACCAGCGATCTGTCCTCGTTCGAGGGAGACAGCGATGAGGACGAGCCTCCGTCTGAGTCCACCGAGGAGGGAGAGTTCAGCTCTGAGGGTGAGAAGCGCATCACATGATCAGTCAGTGTGTGTCACTGCAGCTCTCCAACACGTGTGTCTGTGTGCCTGTGTCTCTGTGTGTGTGTGTCTGCGTGCGTGCGTCTGTGTGTGTGTCTGCGTGCGTGCGTCTGTGTGTGTGTCTGCGTGCGTGTGTGCGTATGTGTAGATGAGGGAGGGCAGAAGACACCAGCTGGGGATGACTCGGAGGGCAGCAGGGAGAAGAAGCCCCGCGGTGTGAGACAGGGATACGTACACAAGCCCTTCCTGTACTCGCGCTACTACAGCGACTCTGATGACGAGGTGACGGTGGAGCAGCGCAGACGCTCGGTGGTAAGAACACATCCATGACCTTTGACATGCTAGAAAACCTAACGATGGGCCTCATTCAAAAACACCAGCGGAATTATTTGTGTATCATTTGTAAAGCCATTCTGATGTAAATTTCTGTATAAAGCACTTTAAAAACCATCGTGTACCAAAATGCTAGTACAGTTTAAAAAGTAAAAAAAAATTTAAGTCAATCTTTGTTTGTATAAAAAGCTTTTTTATCTCCATATTTTCAAAGTGTGAGTTGGTTGGTAGGCTGCTTCCGAACATACGAACATTCTGTGCTCTTAGGTAAACTGAAACGCTTTTCACTCAGAAATATATTTAAATGATCTATTTTAAAGTATTTCCTGAATGAAATTTAGAAATTTTGTTTTGTATTCATCTTAAATATTTAATATAGTTATTTGTGAATTCTATGACATAGTGTTAGAAAAACAAATGAATAAATAAATTTAGGCAAACTGATAAAAGCATTTTGATAACACTATTTACCATAATAAATAGTTAACCATTTAGTTAAATGTGTAAATATTTCTATACAAACATTTAAATTATACATAATTTATAATAATAAAGTTATAATAACTTTTTAATGATAAAACTACCTTTTTATTCCAATTTGTTTTTTGAAATATAAACATTTAAATGGTGGCTATCATTAAAAACTGCATTGATTCTTAGAATTTAATAATCAATATCGGTTCATCAAAACAAAACTCGATTTAAAACGGGAAATCAATATTTTCAAACCCAGCCCTAAAAATTGTTTCAATTAATGTGATGATGCTTCATTTTCATCTGGTTGTTGTTTTTGAAATCCAACTCCGATCTGAAATCATTTTCTTAAATGTAATTTTCCCTCCGCAGGCCAAAGACAAAGAGGAGCGCCTGTTGAAGCGGCAGCAGAACCGGGAGCGAATGGAGGAGAAGCGCAGACTGAGAGCAGCCCAGAATGAGGAACAGGGTACCTGCACTTGTGTGTGTGTGTGTGTCTCTGTGTGTCTCTGTGTCTCTCTGTGTGTGTGAGAGAGAGAGAGAGAGTGTGTGTGTGTGTGTGTGTGTGTGTGTACAAATGTAAGTACTTTTTATGTGAATATAGATAGAAAATGTAGAAAAGTCACAAAATCTTATTCCACTGAGATGAAGGGAACCCTTTTTTTTCAACTAAGTAAAAGTTGATTGGGGTCATATAGACCACAAGGACCGATTGAGAGTTAAGTGTTCATGCAAACATAATCTGTTATGTCTTAAGTGAACGTTTGGGGAACTGTTGGGGAAAAACATTGGATGTGTAACATTATATTATTTCCATTCAGTAGAGTAGGTCTTAATATAATATAGACAGTCTGTCTCGCTGTTCTTTATTGAACCGCTTTTGTAGTTTTAATAATTAATTTACTTGTAATGAATACACTAAAGGGATTTTTACATTTGATTATTTGTTTTTCTTACTTGAACGCTTTTGTTTAAATGTAAAATTAAAAAGTTTTTTTAAATATTTGTTCTACTGTTTTAAATCTGCTTATTTGTAATAACAAAGATAAAAATAGCTATGCTGCATTAATTGATATAGTAATTTTTATTATTAAGAAAAGAACGGGAGGAAAAGATGCAACGTTGCAAGGTGACTTTGAAAACTCGATTTTTATCATAATTGGCTCTGCTGACTCTATCGACTTCAAATGGGTGTAGCTCAGTCATTTTTCATCCGATTGCAACACATCATATATAATTTTGAAGGTTTGACTCTATGGTCATTCTGAAAGGCCTGAGCAAAGTCTGTCATCAAAGTATTTCTGTATAATTGTCTTACACGACTGCGTTCCCAAACAGCAGCATCCACCTCCGAAAGCATTGACTGCATTTATTGTGATTCGTCTCGCTCTGAAGTGCAAGCCATTTATCATATATGAAAATTATTATATTCAGTG